AAATAAAAAATTTATATCTTTATGTTTGAAGCCTGAAATGTGGCAAAAGGTTGAAAAGTTCAAGGGGGCCGAATACTTTCGCAAGGCACTGTAAAACCAGAGCCCCAAGTAGAGTATGCTCATGTCAAATCTCCATTAAACATGCAACATGCTGCATTAGAAACTTTCAGTAAAACTGTGCTTTATTACATGATTGGAGCTAGCAGAGAATCACAATAGTACAGCAAAATAGTGATTGGGTGTTTTTACGTTTATTTTAATTTTTTTAGAACTGAAAACTTGCAAATCACTTGTATTCAGTGATTTCTCATGTGTAAAAAAGAATAAATCATGCATCAGCCCTGGTTGTGATTATTAAAATCTGAAAAGAAAAATGACAGGGATGAATAGCTTTAGTCATATTTTGATTGACCGAAATAGCGTAACTGTTGTAGTGTGAAGCAGTCCCCTCATGATATACTGTATAACTTTCCTACATTCTTATGTGTGAAACTTCTGAATGTGGACGCAAGTTCACCTCCAATGAAATTTTAGGGGCACAATTTGTGACTCTTTGGAGTAAATACACCATGGAAGCCCACAATTAGGACACACTTTGTTGAATTATTACCCGTAGTACTGCAGGGGACATGGCCTGCATTATAAGAGACTCATTGTGTTTCGAAAGGTTTTCAGTGCTCTGAAAACCCTTGCTTCATTGCTGAGTTGCCAGGCTCAGTTCCCATTGCTAATCAGTGCCAGAACGTGACATCACTTGCTAAAAGTAGATCATTCATTCAGGATCTCCAGCACTCTTGCAGCAATGTCCTTTCAGTCCTGTTAGTCAATTAAGTAAATCCAGTCCCGTGGCTAATATTTTGATTTATGTCATCTTATTTTCTAGTACCACATCAGGTGAAGTACAGTACAAGTACAGGTGAAGTGTTATTTTACACTTTCAAGCCTGTAGTATTATCTTTTCTCCTAGAAGTGTGGACAGTACAGCTCAGATCTTGGGGTTGTTGTACAGAAGAATAGAGAATACAGTAAATTGGGTTGAGATTTTGTTTTTAAACAGCTAATGTTTGTTCAAATTGAACCGCTCGTACAGTATAAATAAAGCCACGCTGCCATACTATGAAGTGAGTATTCAAAGGCCATTCTTTGCAAATATTGCAATAAGAAGTCAATAAACAAACAAAAAGGAAGTTTAAAATATAAGTGTCTAATTGTTTCTGACAATGATTAACTAAAATCATTAAAGTATACTACTTTTAGCAAGGGGCTTCTGAGTTTATCTAAACTGACTTTGCTTTGCCCAGAATACAGGGCAGCATCATGTTTCCTGTGTTGCCATTTACTGTTTTCTAGAGCAAGAAAAATGGGATTATGCAATGGTCATGTGATTTAGCCAGAAATAGTGACTGAGCTACATCTGCTGCTGCTCCTCCTGCAGTTACTCAGCTCTTGGCAGCTTTCAAAACAAATACAGTGTGCATTTATTCTTCTGAAGAACTTTGTTGTTATAAAACATTGCTGATGAACAACTGAACAGAATCAGCATATTTATATCCTTTACATTACTTGGGTACACATACATGGTCCAGAAAAAAAAATCTTTGCAGTATAGTACAGAGACCTGCACGCATTGCAACTGTAGCACATGAACTGTAGTTACAGCATAGTTCTGATTAGGCATACTGTACATGTGAATGTGTTGCACAGCCTTGCATTGGCACTAATACTGACATAACTGACCTCAAATTAGGATATTTTCCAGTGAGATTGTGTTATCCATTGGTCTATCCACAGTGTAAATTAATTGACACATACATGACTAATTTACAGTAGATTATGGTTTATACATTTTTTTCCTAGATTGGTCAATCAGATCCACCACAGAAAAGAGAAAGGTTTGCCCTTTTATTGAGTTGTAAACAGAGATGGTCACTGCACTTTTTCAAACAGTAACATTGTGCATCTACTGTAAGTGATGTACTGTAACACATTGCTACGAAAAAAATGAATTATCTTCCTGAAATGAATTACAATACATAAGATTCATTAACTGCAGCTTTCCGCAGGAAAGACAAGCTACAGCCTTAAAAATATATTTCCTTTCTGATGCTTAACTACACCACTTACAAATTCTTACAGATTATTTGATTATTTTACAGTCTCTGGAAAAGAGTTCTTGAAATCTTGTCTCTTCCTGAGATAGATATGCAAGTCTGCATTCAGTGGACTTTATATCTTGATTTGTTTTCCTCTGTGAAAGTAAAAAAGTTTGTGTTCCTCTCCAAATACTTATATTTTCCATTTTGTGATATATAATTTGTCTGTTGTACAGGTCAGCACAACTACCTGTGTGCAGGACGAAATGACTGCATAATTGACAAGATAAGAAGAAAAAACTGCCCTGCGTGTCGAGTACGAAAATGTCTACAGGCTGGAATGAACCTGGGAGGTATTGGATTCAGAATTTTTTTGCTTGAACAACATCATTGTTTAGGTATAAAAAATTGCCCTGTTAGTCAAGCTCTCAGCATCTCACTTTAGGGACAAAGATTGAACAAGAAAAACTGCAGACAAAGGAAATAGTACAGAGTGACTCACTTACCCAGCACTATGGTGGGTAACTGCCTAGAGGCCTTGAATCATATTAATGCTTATGATTTCAGATTTGGGTTTTTTTCAGTGGTTACAGTATATGAAAATGTTTGGAGTAATCAGCCAACCAAATGTGGATTATTGGACCTTGATTTTTTCCCGATATTTACAAAACCTGTATCGGGTTATACAATATAATTGATATGCTGTATAAAGTTGTATTAAATATATATACAGTATATCTACTGCATATTATTTGTGTTTAGATTTTATTTACAATATAGAGAGTTTATCAAATCAAGATGATAAAAAGAATTATTAAATCCTGTCACAGTTTGTTATTATGGTTTCTGCAGGTCAGCAAAATCCTTAGTTTACTGCAAAATATGGGAGAAATGAGAGAAGAAATACATAAAATTCACATGGAAACGATACAATAATACCTTACTAAGAGTGGCAATAGCTGAAAGTCAAGATTCAAACCTTCGAATGAAATAAAATACAAAACAAAACATTAATACAATTCCAGTAATAAAACATTAAACAACAACACCTTCAGTCATGTTGCGTTAAAAGAAATGCAATTCTTAACATGATAATTTCACAAGTACCAGAATTGGGGAAAAATAGAATTTAAAATAAAAAAATATCAATCATGTTGAGTTTTGGAAAGGAAATGTCGTCAATAGCATGAATAACCATGTTATCGTCAATAACCAAAAATACATGTCACAGTATGGTACAGTATATTTTAAACATTCGTACATTTTCGTAATGATAGATGTCACATTATGAAATTATTTCTTAAAATGAAATAATTCAACCTAACCTAAGTTTCGATCTGTGCAACTTTCACGATTTAATTTCAGAACAATAACAGTTAAAGAGGTTGCATGCATATTATTAATGTGATGTAGAAGTACAGTTTTTTATCTGTGGACTATTACAGATTGGCGCATTTGTCTCCAGGGTAACAGATTAGATAATGACATTTAATGCATGTCCGATTTCCTCTGCATTTTAGTGTGGCTTTGAGGATTTGCATATTACAATATGTGGTAAAAAGCTTATAGTTCCAAGAAGAGGTATTGCTGGTATAAAATGCAAGCATGATCAAGGCCAATATGTTAATACTCCAAGCCTTTGATAAAACTGTTTGCTAGCTCTTTAGTCAATGCTTGTTTGCCAGTAAGGGCCTCTCTTTTATCTAGTTTAAACTGCCAACACTTAGTGTGACCTTGAGGAAACAAACTATGTAACTGAAGCATAAAAATGATTTGCTATTAACTGCATGTTGTGAATACCTCTTAACTTTTCAGACAATGTCAGAGTTTTTAAAAAAGCTCAAACCAAAGATTTATTTAGGGTTTTCCTCAAAAGTGCACAGTTTCAGTACAATTCTTCATCAATTAATCATAAATAGGAAAATCCATGTTTAGAGCTGTTTAATTGAAGCAAGAATACAGGGGTTTAGTTTGTGCTTTTTCCTATTAAACTAAAGAAAATAATGTAGTGTTTACACAGAGTGCCCCAAATATATGCAGTGGTAGTGATATCCTGATGCGGATGACAGGGATTAATAGGTCTACTCATTTATCCATAGCACTGCTGTAAATATCTGTTGTAATGGAGTGCTTTGTGTTAGCAATGTTGGAAAAAGACATTGAATTTTCACAGTTTTGTGCTTTGAAGTCCGTAACGGTGTTTGTTTCTCTTTGATTGATCTCATTTTTTCTGTTTTTGTTTGTGATTATTAAAAGACCCCTTTCAGCTTTACCAACCATTTTCGGCTTTAATAGTTATCGATTTCTCTACGTTAGACGCTTCCAGCCCAGATTTTCTAGCTCCACTCATGTGGCTGGCTCTTCAAAATGGATGGGCAAGATTTCCTTGCTGATCGAGGCAACCTGTGTGGAAGTCATCTCATTTATCATAGACACAGCAGGGCTGCATGTACATATTTCAGCTTGTCAGACACCCACTGGGGACTTCATTATTTATTTTATTTAACCATTATTGTTCTTATGAACAGTGCATAGCTGATTTAAACTGCTTGACAAAGGTTCTGTGTAGTTTCTCTGTTTTAAATGAGGAATGAGCTTGAAGAAGCAGCACAACCTATCAATCTTTATTTTTTCATCTTGAAAATGAGCTAGAGCAGTCAGGACATGATATCTTAATAAAAGAACTTAGGACTAGTTTGTGCTTTCGTCATAGTATATACAGGGGTTTTCAAGGCATTTAAAATAAGTCACATACTGTAGGAATATGAACTCCAAAGCATTCCCTAGTTTCTTGCTTTAGATTTTAAGGCTTAAAAAGGAAAAACATTTCCTTTTTAAAAAAAAAGTTTGTTTTCAAAACAGACACTTTTGGCTTGGTTTTCATTTAGCTGTGCCAGTTACATTGTGATGTATTTGCCTGCAGCAAGGAAGTCAAAGAAGCTGGGGAAATTAAAAGGGGTGAATGAGGAGCAGCCACTGCAGAGCCCAAAGGAAGGCCAGACATACTTGGCTTCCGAAAAGGAGTTGAATGCCAACACCACCCTGGTCCCTCACGTACCTGGTGTTGCACCATACCTGACTCCATCCATCTGCAGCATCTTGGAAATCATTGAGCCGGAAGTGGTTTACGCAGGCTACGACAACACCCAGCCAGACACCGCCGACCACCTGCTCTCCAGCCTGAACCAGCTGGCAGGAAAACAGATGATCCGAGTTGTCAAGTGGGCAAAAGTCCTTCCAGGTGAGATCCAACTTCATTGAAAATGCAGATTTGACCATTTTTATAACTGTCATATGACATTTGTTCAATTCAATTTTAGCAGTTTTAACCATTTTCTGCAATGCCATTTAAAGGAACTCCTACACACAATGAGCATGTTATTTAAAATCTATGGCTGTGCTCTGTATACGCATTGAAGAGCATATTCCAGAGTATAATTTATATCACACTATTTTTTTCACTAAAGCGGAGCATGTGCCTTTGCAAAAAATCCACCTTTTGTGTCACATTATGGAAGCTGTGTAAATTTTTATCTATATACTGTATGCCTCACAGACAATACTAAAGAGCACCATCTTTGGTGAGACTTAATATGTTGTATTGCATACTGTATATTCAGCACTTCCAGAGTGTCTTCTTGCTGCTCCTGTATATATAAATAGATATGTAGGGCCTCATTCACAAACGGTTCTGAAGAGATTAGAAGCATCCAAGTCGAAAATAAGGAGTACAAAACAAGATGCTGAATTCACAAACCACAATTAGAAGCATGTGAAATGAAAATGATACCAGTGGAGGGAATGTGGTGGCTCCCAGCACACTGCCAACACATTTTTAGCTGCAGTGTTTAGCACCAGCCAACCAGATCTCTTTCTGCTTCTGCAAGAAGCCAGGTTTGGACTTATCATTTAACAAAAGCACCAGCCGAGAGAAAGGAATGTCCCTTCCTATAATAGTCGACAAAACATAACCATGGCTGGACACTCCCAAAACTTGTTGAAAAAGACACTCCATTATAATACCCCTCGGATAGAACATAAACATGAGACTAGAGGCAATTGATATGAATAAAGTGATCAACATTCTGTGAAAGATCATTGAAGTAAATCATCTGAAAACTGAATTGTAGGATATTTTCATACATATTGTTCAAGTAAATATCTTATTTCATATATGACAAGAAAATAAAAAGAGGAAGTCAATCACTGAAATCTTGCAGATAACCACACTATCCCAAAGGACACCATTGGTACCAATGGTACAGAACAGAGACTTAATTAAAAAGGGGGGGAGTTCGAAATTTCATGTGGAGATTGTAGGTCCTGGAATGAGCAAAGACCATATGTATTAAATACAGATGCAGCTGCTCAGAACGCACAGTATTTCTTCCTAATACAGTAAAAGTAGTGCGGTGCGTTACGATATGTAATTCACTGGCCAAAGATGATCAATAGGTGGCACTTGTGGTGCGTTAGATGTTAGTGAAATTAATTGCTTCATTTAGTCTGTTTCTCTGCTGTGCATGTTTAAATCCACTTAATATGGAATATTAATACAGAATTGTATAACTGAAGGGAAATTTTGGTAATTAAAAATAAAAACAGAAATATAATATAGTATATAATATTTTAGTATAGTAAAGCAAATTTAAGCAGGAGACAATTTAGCTTTAAATTTTGATTATGAAAAATATTTTACACATACTGTACTGTAGTGGCTTTAAAACCATACAGTATCATATCATATTCATGTGGTATCATGTGGTTTACACATACAGTACTATGGTTTTTATGATCCTTGGTTCAAGTGTGCACTTGGGGTTGTTTTAGTTACAACTTGGGGTTGTTTTTTATACCACTACCATGTACTGTATGTACATTAAGTATATATTATGTGTGAGACTATGGCTTTAATACCACTACAGTACAGTATGTGTAAAATATATTTTTCATAATCGAAATCTAAAGGTAAATTATCCCAATTACGTTTGTCAAGATTAAACAAAATAGAGTGATTTTAAAACAGTTGCTACCCTCAGCAGATTGCTTGTGCTGCACAGCGGATACTTTAACACAGATTATTTTCCTTTACAAATAAAATGAGAAATGCAAATATGCTGTCTAGTTTGGAACTATGAAGGGGAAGAAAGAGAAGTCATAGAACTAAAAGAACAAGCAACGAAGTGGATTATTTTTTATTGGGGAGACGTGAGCTTGAAAAGAACATGAAAGATGTGTTCCTCTGTTCAAGTCAGCATCTACCTTTTTAAAAATGTTTGAAAAAAGTCATGAATTGTGATAACATACTGTAAAACAGGATAGCATATAAAACTAAGTCTTACTACCAGAGTTTTTGATGGAACTGTCAGAAGTCAGACATGTTTTCTCTGCTGTAGATTTTAAAAGCAGTAATACTGACATGGACTTGCTAATTCTGTACACTAAAAAGGCACCAAAATCATCAACATTAGTTAAAAGATAGGGTAGGGATTGGGAGACCTCTAGATATAAAGTAACAACATATCAGAATTGAGGGATATGCAGAATTAACTATGTTTTACAGAAATCGTTTTAGAAATGGAAGATGAAAGGACAGTTAGATCTGTTAGTTGCAAAGTAAGAGCAAACTAGGATTTTCAGCAGAACAGATTGAACTCCTGTCTCACTATACTGTATGATATCCTCATTTACTGTATGAAAAGTAAAGGTTTTGTTGGACATCTGCTGAGATATGAGTAAAAACTTAGCACAGAATCCACAACTGAATTTCCCGATTCATTTCCAAAGCAAATGTCTGTCAGTGCAGTGGGGAATTTTGAAAATAAACACTGGGGATTTAGTGAAGAAGAGTTAGCTTAAAAATTGTATGCCCTCTCTGTGGACAGACCAGTCCCACTGTGCTTTTTTACTAAGTTACCTGTCACGAACAGTTCTTTCCGGGCCCTATGCAGATGACACAATCTGGAATAGTGAGGAAACACTAGGAAAAAGTCATGCAGGAGACGGGAATAGAGACAGGGGGGCGTGTCTTAGGTGTGCAGGTGTCCAGGGGAAGTGAGTCCGGGGCGAATAATCCAAGACAAAGTCCAAACAGGAAACCAAAACAGAAGCATAAATCCATGCCCAGCGATCCATCCAGGGGATTAAGAACCAGGAACCGGGTCGGGACGGGCCGGGGGGGGGGGATCAGGAACAAAAAGTTAAAACCATAACGGAGCCAGTTGCAGCAGGACCCCGGGCTCCCACTAAACGGAATTCAATGAAGAGCCTTGAATGATGTCTGCGTCTGGCTTTTAAGGGGGAACTGAAGAGGGGCTGGAATAAGGAACAGGTGCGGGTAATGGGGCAGAACAAGGAAGGGCTGGAGCGCCCTTAAGAGGAGGAGTAGGAATCGTGACATTACCCCTTGTAAGCCCACCTTACAGATGTTGCTTCAGTAGCACTCCTAGAGCTCAGTTTCCTTATTCTCTAGATTCTCCTGCATCTCTGCATGGGTTTTCAGAATATTTTTATTTTGTTCCCTTTATTCACCCGAGACCAGTTTCAAGACAAACATCTGACAGTCCACATCTATCGCAACAATCATCTCAGATTTTAAAAACTACAAGCAGCTCCATTGACTGCTCAAGCAGAGTGGCCATCTTAGAGAGCTTGGGATAACTGAATAGATTAAACTTCTTAAATGAGGCACAAAGTTAGGATTAATCTGTATCCAAGCTGTTATGAATGACTCACAAACACAAAATAAATGTGAAGAGGGGGATAATTAAAACAAGCAAAATGGGGTATCTAGCAATAGTAAATCTAACTCCAGGTTTCCATCTGGGCACAGTGGTCAAATGATCAGCCTAGGGAGTCATTTTCAAAATGAGGGGTCCAAAACCCGAAGGACTCTGATACCCAGAGTTGATCAGATGTTATAATACAATTTTTTTAGATCACACTTTAGAAACAAACATATTTGTTCTAAGAAGATATCATGGGTCCCACACAAAACCTGATTTAAAGCAGCAGTGACCATTTGACCATTTAATTTTCAGGTTTTTATTAAACCATTTTTAACCATAACACTACTAACTTAAGGTGCATTTCACAGTAATTTGCAAATAAATGCTGGATAGCTGTTGATCAAAAGTAAATCATTTTTTGCTAAGAATGCTCCCTGATGTATAGTAGAATGTTTTCAGAGAACACTAGTAGTATAATGTCTGTATGGTTGAAGTGAATACCTTCTGTAACATTACTGGTGGCATAGAAGTCAGTCAATTGACTCTTAGAAACAATGCCTGTATTCTTTGGGGCTAGGAGATTCTTAAACTGTTGAAGATTAAGTGGCCACTGAATAATACTGCAGTGAAAAGTGTTCACCTAGAGCCACAAGAACCAAGTAAATCTGGAAATACCTGAAAAAATCTGGACAATTTGACACCAGCATTAAAAAAACTCTGCATCCTCATCCCCTGAAGGTTGTGCCTTTCCTGAAAAATGCCTTCGGTAAAGCATTAGACAGCAGCGTTATTGCCCTGTAGGCTGATCAAATCCCAGAAGATTAGCATGACCCTAGTCAGTACTGGGAAGGTTACCAATTACAGGCCACTGCTACAAGTGATGTTGGTGAAACTTCCCCGTGGACCAGAATCTGTAATCCAATGCTCCACGGTGGTGACCAGGAAACTGTTCTGCATGAGGTTTAGGCCTGTGGATAAGATGTTAAATTGGTGTCCTGACTATTTCGTCATTAAAGATCCCTTTATGTCTTGGTTCAATTTCACTCTGGTCTTGTACAGTCTGGATGTCTTAAGGTCCGCCCTCCCATTTAACATTAGTGAGCAACTGTGATTGAATTCAAGATGAGAGAGCTGAGCTGCACCCCTTAAACTGGCACATAATGGCTGCCACGTGTCACCCATGTGAGCACTGCATTTCAATAGTGGATGAAATAGGCAATCTTCTATATGTAATGTGCTCTGAGCTTCTGTGGAATAAAAAGCACCATATAAAGGCAATTAATCATAAATTATATTGTAAGAATTATTCCTGCCATTCAGACATGAATGTGGCTCTCTCGTGCAGGGTTGATTACTCAAGGCTGTCTAGGCCCATTCCCTAGTGTTTCCTGTCTGTTGGAAAAACTCTCATGCTTTGATCCCATATACTGTACAATGAATGACTGTAAAGTTTGCTGTAGATATTTCATTAATACTAAAATAAAATAAATTTCAGTCTTGAATTATTCGTATTGAAAAGATAATCTGTAAGAATTTATACTGTATAGTATCATGCATTCTCATTTTCATTTAATGCTGTTTGAAAGTAAATTGAAATGTATGCAGCTGTGTTTTATAGCACATCTTTGTAGAATGTGCTTGAGATATAGACTGACAAGATTCTTATTAAAAGAAAATAATTGCATGTGATCTTCACTATCAGTAGACTTAGGCTAGTGGAATTTAGACATTGAAATTAGAGTACAGAAGTGAACACTCTAACATTTTCTTGTATTTCAAAGCTCAAATATAGATCTAATGAGTTCTATTATTTGACTAAGTTCTAAATTCTAGCTTCACTGCTCTAATGGTTTATTATGGTACAGAACCTCTCAATGCACCTTTCTTTCCATTATTTTTCTTTATATTTACCCTCAGGATTCAGGAGCTTGCCAATTGAGGACCAGATCACTCTCATTCAATACTCCTGGATGTGTCTTTCATCGTTTGCCCTAAGCTGGAGGTCCTATAAGCATACCAATGGCCAGATGTTGTATTTCGCACCAGACCTTGTTTTCAATGAGTAAGTTTCTATTCACTGTGCAATTTTTTTTAAACAAATTATGACATTTTGATAGATTTTATTTCAGGATTTCAGGTTTATCAAAGGAATCATGAATGAACCGTAAAGGTTTGTGACAGTACCTAGCTATTACTTTAGTTTACATGTATACTTTTCCTATTTACTAATAACATATGTTCATAGATACTCTATATTCTACTGTGTTACCTGTATATTAATAGTATGCAATTGCAATGCTCAGTCCAACACTGTACACCTACGCTTTACCTCACCTGCCTCACCTGTATAAATATAATTATAGGATTGTGGCTGAAAATAATTTTCCAATGTTGACTTCTTTAAAGAGCACATGCTCCCATGTTTAACGAGTCCAGACAGGTCAACTGCACCAGGCAAAGTCTGTACATAATCAAGAACACTGTAAAGTACATAATAAAAAGAAAAGTTACAAAGCCAAACATTGCAGCATATTTCCTTATTGTATAGATGCTATGATTCAAGTGATCTTTTATTAATTTTAAGCCCTACATAGAGGTTTATAGCCTTCAGTGCCAAATAATGCCAACACAATTTGAGTGTAAAGCCTAGCATCTATAACTTTCTAAAAACACTCTAGTAGGGTGACAACTGTTTCAGACCGGCCCCTTTTCATTCTCTGAAGTGACAGCATCCACTACTTGACTTCTCCCTGCCACTACTGGTTCATACAGTCTGAAGCTTACCAATCTTACAGCATAACTTTCATGAATTAAACAAAGTACAGTGCATGAAGTGCAATACAATCGTGAACTTTAAATTCGCATCAAAGTGCAGTCAATTACCAATACTGTCAAAATAAAACCAGAGTCTTGTGCAATTGAGCAAGATGGGATAAGTCACATATGGCTTGGGGGTTTGCATGACTTGACAAGGCACTGGATCCTTGTTAGAGAGATACTGTAGCAGTAGGTTTCATATCTGCTGGCAGTTTGTTGGCACCATTGAAGTGTAAGAGTGGAGAAGCAGTAGGGTCTTCAAGATGGAGACTAGAGGAAAGGAAGAGCCAAAACTGTGAGAACAGAGGAGTATTGATAGTGGAGCACAGCAATGGTGATACTTGAAGGCAAGAATTAGAGTGTTAAATAAAATTCTTAAAAGCCGAATACCATTGTGATTAAGGCTACTGATATTGAGAATCTTAATATTATTTTGTTATGATGCACAGTTTTTGCTGGCCTAAATTTATGGGCAGCTTTTGTGATTTTTAGGTATAGATAGAATTAGCTAGTGCTGTTCTTTTTTATTTTCACCACTGTTGAATCAAATTACTTCTCCCTTAGCAACCAAAAGTCTATGTGAAGCAGGCTGCTGCTCTGCAGAAGAGTAGGATGTGCAGCTTGACTGTACATTTGTGCTTCTTTGGGACTGTAGAGTTATATAATCAGAACTTTCAAAGAGAAAACCAGCAATCTGCCCAATCCCTGCTCTTAGGATTGCTAAAAATGTTAAATCTGTCTATAAATGTATCTTCTGTCTATCCATCCTAATTTCAAAATAATTCATAAGACAAAGTTATAGAGCCATAGTTTATCCCCATTCCTTTAATCTTATGCAGAATAAATACATAAATTGCCCTGGAGATGCCAGTCATCATTACAGGTTTTCCCAAATTAATGGCTCATGTGTGTTTAAAAAGATCAGAGACTGTAGAGGTCACTTGAGACATCAGCTTCACAGCCGGATGATTTTCTCTCTGTTTTAACTAATTTTGATTTGGTTGTATGATTAGGATCATGTCATGTTGAAAATCTCTTCACCAACAAGACATCTTCCTTAGGGTATTGCATGATGCTGAAAAATGTATGATAAAATTCCTTGCACATATCTGTTGTACTGTTTTTCTAGTGGCAAAACAACCCCTAACTTATCAATCACCACCTCCATGTTTCACTGTAAGAGCAATCTCTCTACTGCGACTTGTCTTACTTTTGTAAAATATCAAATATTATTTCATATGTCCATGACAGTCATCTTCCTTTGTCGTTTTCATGAAAAAAAAAGGGATTCATCATTTATTTTAAATTTCCAATTGATTTAGAACTGCCATTTGTTTCAAGACACTGATCTCCGACACCAGCTCCTGTACCCACACAAAGAGAGGGAGGATATGTAGCCATGTTTGTGTTAAAGCTAATTCTACATTGCTTGACATAAGAGTTGGCACCAATCGGTAGAGCAGCATTTCTCTCACTGATGTTTACTGAAAGTCTGTAGGCACCAATCGAATCACACCTGTTGTCGTACCAAGAAACAAGAGAATTTACAAATCCTGGTCTTGGTGATTTGGTGAACTAGTGATTTCTGGGTCATCCTGTACATCTCAACTAGCTTGCCAAATAACCAATTTTGCTCTTCATTGCTCAAAGCCATGAGTTTCATTCTTTGTCTGCTAATGGATATAATACAAAGCATCATTATTTCTGAAGTATTCCTCGTGGAATGTACTTCCATATAAACCATTTTCTTCAAAGAATGTTTACTTTGCTCTGATCAGTCACTTAATATTATATACAGTACATTTGTCTTTCACTTTTTTCAAGTTCCCTGTATAAAATTTGGGAGCTGTTGCCTATTCTTACCTGCTGGGTTCCCTTAGATTTTCAAATACTGTAGCTCTCTTATCCTAGTTAGTATATATTCTAAAAACTGCCAACAGCTGAGCAAGAAATTTATGATTAAATATGAGAGAGTAGTTGGATATTAAGGTAAAGTGCCAGTAAGACATCCACTGCTACATTTTCTTAGAAAATGTATAATAAAGTTAAAAATAAGATGGTACAGTAGGTTATGTGCAGTTTTAATTTTGGAAAGATTTCAGTAAGATTAAAGATGTCACCAGTGTGTACCCAAATATTCTTTTGTTTCCACCATCATTATGGTTTTGACATCATTTGCATCTTATTTAGGAATATGACAAGTGGACATTTTGTTTTTAAGTAGTTTAAGTAGGTAGCTGTGTCAGCATGTGTAGGCTGCAAACCTGGCTGCACACCTGAAGAAAGCTCCATAGCCAAAACGTTGTGTTTCTTTTCTTCTTTCAGCATGGAATAAACCTTTACTTGTTCATTTTGTTTTCAAAGCTGCCCTTGGAAATTATTTTGTTAAGTTTGTTCATTTCATTTATTTGAAAATTATTCAAACAAACTAAAATTAAATGAGTGAAATAGCAAATCCTGAAACACTAATGCAAAATAAAGAGTTTACATAGTGCTGACCTGATATGTCCAAATATAGCATTACACAATATTACGAATTGCTAAAAATATCTAAAGAGAATAATGTACAAAGGTAAATTATTGTAATGGTAGTTTAACTTGACACTTTAATTCAGCACTGCATTAAGTGTAATCACTAAGAGTTTAATTTGGCACCAGACCTAATGTTGCCATGTTTGATCTAGTTTTCAATTTTTTATCAGTAGTTCAAGATGTCTGTGCAGTAGCCCTGTAATTTAAAAACAGTTTAAGCACATTCATTTTAAGATGTACATGCAGACATTAGATCATTTACTTTACATAAAACCCTTCCAAGCATGCTATTATAAAGTTTTCCAGTTATGGAAAGTTTACAATACATAAGAAAGTAATGAGGTGAGTTCCTTCAATGGTTTATTGGTGCAGAGCAGGCATAATATAGTCATCACTAGTGCTCCTTTTAACTTTCAGTTCCACTTTGTCTTTGTGCACTTGTGACATCCTTTATGAATCATCTTGCACTTTTTCATTGAAATTTGTAACTTATATTGCAGTCATATTAGTCACATGAGCGATTTTATTATTTTTATTATATATTCTGTATTTTATTTTGTGTTTAGATATTGAACAGTACAGTGTAGGGTAATAAAATGTGCAATATATTGCTTATAAATGTTAAAAGGTAGTTCTCACTCTCCTATGTTTAATTTAGTTACTGTACTGTAGTGAACACTTTATAGCAAGTATGCTATATTTGATATTTTTCTAATTATAGGATTATTTTATCCATTATTTCATTGCTCTCTCTCTCTTTATAAATAAAGTAGGTTTCCTTCTCTCTCTACCTCATGGACTTTTAGCTGCTGTTACATTCTCTACCCCATCCTGTGATTTGCACACACATCTGTTTACCATTAAATGAATTTGAATTGACAATAAACCCTGGTGAGCCTGCAGTTCTGCTCTCTTGTCCCTTCTTCATCTCTGTCCAACACAGCTAGGGAGAATAAGGAGGTTCACTCCAATATTATGAATGGTAATTCTCTAGCCACATATCGACTACGAGTGGGTCACTTCCAACTTGCATAAGATTTGAGTTACATACATACTTGCAGAACTGAACACTTATGTTACCCAGGTAGAGGTGTAAAGCATTATTTTAATTCTTTAATAAAAACATATTTTGTAATAAATATTTTATCTTACTGCTTTCATGATGGGAAGTGAAGCTTCTAATGGAAGTGTTTGTATACCTTTGTTGTGCCATTTTTTAAACCTGGTAAGCAGTCACAAACAGATACACTTTATTTTTTAATCACTGTGTATTCTTTAAGGTTTTCAATTTTGATTTTAGATGTTAACTCAGCTAGTTTAGGTAATGCACAGTGCAGGTGCTTTTTGCTATCAATAACTTTTTTTAAAATATATTTAGAATCACACATTATTTTTGTTATTATTCATCTGATTTGGAATAGCTCACATTTATGAACCCTGTGACTGCACACGGGGGAGATTGAGAAAGTGTAGGCAGCCTTATCCTACATGCCCATCTTTGAGCCTCATGTCTTTTAACACATCCCAGGCAGCACACCCCTATACTGGAGGCTCAGTGCAGATTGGATAGTGCCCTCCCACACTGACAGCACCACATGCCTGGGAGGCCACAGGCCCTGCTGTGCAACTGAGAGGAGAGAAGGCCCTGGTTGATCCTACCCAAGGGAAAGTGGCTTTACCAGAGACCCCTTTGTTTTTAAAGTCCAGTTAGCT